CATGGAGACCATTGAGTCTTCTATGTATACAATCATGTCATCTGCTAATAGAGTTTCACCTCTTCTTTTCCTATTCGAATGCCCTTTATTTTTTCCTCTTTTCTGATTGCGTTGGCGAGGACTTCCAGTACTATATTAAAAAGGAGTGGAGACAGTGGGCATTCTTGTCTTGTTCCTGTGTTTAGTGGCAAAGCTTTCAGCTCTTCCCCATTGAGGATGATGTTTGCTATGGGTTTTTCATAGATGGCTTTTATTGTATTGAGAAATGGCCCTTCTATGCCGATTTTGCTGAGAGTCTTGATCATGAAGGGATGTTGTACTTATCAAATGCTTTTTCTGCATCAATCGATATGACCATATGGTTTTTATCCTTATTCCTGTTAATATGATGTATTACATTTATAGTTTTGCGTATGTTGAACCAACCTTGCATTCCTGGAATAAAGCCTACATGATCATGGCGTATGATCTTTTTTATAAGTTGTTGAATACGATTTGTTAGAATCTTGTTGAGAATCTTTGTGTCTGTGTTCATCAGAGATATTGGCCTATAGTTTTCCTTCCTTGTCCTGTCCTTATCAGTTTTAAGGATGAGGGTGATAGAGACTTCATAGAATGAATTAGGGAGAGATTCACCCTTTTGGATCTTTAGAAATAACTTGAGCAGAATGGGGGTTAACTCTTCTTTGAAAGTTTTGTAGAATTCAGAGGTGAATCCATCGGGGCCAGGACTTTTCTTTTTTGGGAGGTTATTTATTACTGATTCAATCTCCTGGATATCTTATCCTTTTTTGTGCCTCATAACAGATCCTGTCCAGACAGCTTATAACAAGTTAGTATGAGTTTATTTTGGTATAAAAAGAAAAAAAAAGAAACCCATGCATAGTTTTTTCATAGTATAAACTTTCCATTAACGTTTTTTTTTTCTTTTTGGAGAGGTTTTTGCTATAGGGGCGTGCGCTTGCCAGACAGACAGAGAGACAGAAAGCGAGAAATCACCCCCCAGGGGGGATGGCCACGCCGCAATCCCTTCTCCTCCATTCTCCTCTCGGGATCTTGGGCACACACGCACATGCGCCCAGCGTGAGTTTAAGTCACCGGGTCCGGAACTCGAACCGCGGTCGACTACATGGGAGTCCAGTGACATAACCATTATGCTAACTGCTGGTCCCTCCATTAACTTTTGAAGACACAGTCCTCCCCTTATATGTGGCATTAATACTAAATAAAAAACTTAGTTCCTTTGTCCTCATGGTAAACAGAAGCTATACAGTTTAATATAATGTGTTATTTGTCTTTATTAGCACATAAATATTAATACAGTAAAAACCTAATTTATATTTGCTTTTCTCAATTAATGAGAGACTGTAAGAAGATTATTAAAACTTTATATTCTTGTGTTTTACTTTGGGGTTTATGTTAAAGTAGTTATTGAAGAAAATGTTATTTGTAGATGTTTATCATAAAAAACATTAAAAAATAAAAAGCTTGGCTAAGTAGCTTTCATTTTATTTAAAGAATTTCACAGAACATTTTAATGCCATGTTTCTTTTTCTACTTGTACATATTCCTCTCTAATATGTTATACCCTAATAATGTAAATTTGTTTTGCTTAATATAACTTCATTTCAACATGTGTTATGTTTTAGACCTTTAACTATTTATGATTTGAAGAATTTTATGTTTAATAACATTTTAATAAAAATACTTGGCTACAGTAAAAAGTTAGAACCAGTCAGTCTAGAATCCATCTGAGAGGAAATAGGGTTGAAGTATATAAAACACACTTCTTCTCCTGATAGAACATTAGATCTAGTCCCAGTTTGGAGTTTGTAAGTCAGTGGTCTCTAATGTAGAGTACATAAATCTGTCTATGGAGATATGCTAAGAAAATGTTATAACTTTTACAATATTTATCTTGATAACAGTACATGCTACAAAAATAGAAATTTTACTGTATATAATACATCTTGGTAATGTGTATTATAAAGGCAGAGAGACAGAGGGAGAGAGAAAAGCACTTCCACAGGGTGTGATCACATCACAATACCTTGTCCTCTATGTCTCATCCTGTCAGAATTTGAGGCACTCACACACATGTCCCTGGTGTGTTTCTCAAGTTGCTGCATCTGGGACTCAAACTGCACAATCAATCAGCCATGTGGCATCTGGATACCCTAATCACTAGGCCATGGGGCTAGCCCTCAGCTTACACAGTTCTGACTGAACAATTAAAGTTTAGCAGGCTTTCTGTTTGATGGTACCAAAACTGTTGTGTCCAGGTTGACTGCATTATATTACAGTAAAAATGTACTGTAAAATTCTCAAAGTTTGGAAGCCACTGATAATTAGACAAATTTATTTTTGGGGTACCAAAAAAGCAGCAATTGGGACTGATGGTTGAAACATAACTCTCAGAGTAAGCTTGGAATGTGAACTCAGTTTTTTTTTCCCCCCTTTTTTATAACGTGGTTTAACTCTGATGAAAAATGTTGATACATATACATGTTTATTGTAATTTAAGGACATTTATCCAAACTGGATTGCATCTTTTTTGTTTTGTTTTGATATTTGAACTAGCTCATATATTTTCATACCCTGGATGAAAATTCCAAAGCCTAATGTTTTGTTAGATTTTTGCCAGGTGAAAATACAGATAATGTTAACATCAAAACCATGTCTATTCATTTCATTTCATTGTGTGTTTAGGCCTTTGCAGTTGGGTACTTTTCTTCAGTATCCAGTTTGCAAACATTTTCTGTGATTGTATGGTACCAATGAGATACCTTCCCTACCTCCCTCCAGTGTTTTCATGCTCAGTGCATTGTGGTATACATGCCATAAGAGAGAAGTAAGCAGTGCTTACTAATGGTATAGTTTATGAGTATTCATGTTTTTATCTCAGATATTCAAGATTAAAGCAGTACAACTGGCTGAGAAACTCCTTCCTGCCTTTAACACACCAACTGGAATTCCCTGGGCAATGGTGAATCTGAAAAGGTACTCTATGTGGTTTTGTCTTTTCTGGAAGAATTAAATTAACTGATTTTTTTTTTTTTTACCTTTTTAGTCTTAGAAATTTCCATGATCCATTTCCAATATACTTTTTAAGACTTAAATTTCTTTTCTACACAGATATGTAGGAGCATGTTTCTTTATAACATCTTTTAAAAAAAAAATTGATTCTTTACATACAAATAAGTCACCTACTATACCTTAATTCCATTTTCTACTTGTTTCTCTACATTTAGATTTTTCTTCCTCACCTGTGTAGTTACATACCACTGATTTCTTTTATTTCCTTATTCATTCCATTTCTTATTATCCTGGATTCAAAGTTGTTTCCTTCCCTTTTTCTTTTTATATATCATCTTGCGATAATTCTAAATCAAGTGGAAAGCAATATGTCTGGGTCTTGACTTTCTATCCTGTATTGATAAGGGAAGAATAATTAATAATCTTGATTGTAGGGTCTTTGTTATAATATCTGTGCTACTTAAGTATCATTCTTTCCAATCTGTCTCATTTTAATAGAAAACACTAGCTTTTACAACTTAGAAGTAGATGAATTCCTGGACAACTTTATAGATATGCAAAGATACATAATTAAAATTTGAATAATGACAACATTAACTTGCATTTAAATTTATGATGAAATTTTTGCTGCTCATTTTTCTCCAACTAAATTTTATTATTTATCTTAATGTTGGAGTTTAGAAATTTCATGAAAAGTTGACTGTTGCTCTCCTTGTATACAGACTGTTTAGAATGAAAGTGGGGAACATTTGTTTTTCAGAGGGTGTGAATCCCTGGCAAATTTATTTGAAAAAAAGTGGTCTGCTTTAGCTATTTATTTCTAATGGAGAACTTTAGTGAGTTCAGCTTTACATTGAGAAACCAGCATTTAATACTGAACATTAAATCTAACTTTACTGTCATCTGATTTCGTACATTGTATATAAAGCAGATTACCTCCTGTATGAGGGAAAAGCTGACTAGAGTTCTATCAATAGAACAACCTCCATGAGAGGATGTGGCCAAGTGATGTTGTGGACATACTCGTTCTCTTTACTGAGTTTCGTGACAGACTTTCCAGTGTTTTTTCTTCAGATCATTGTGAGAATCACACAGTATTCTTAGGTAATAATTAAAATTTAATTCTGATAAGAAAGTTTATAGGCCTTTCTTTTTTGTCTGCATAGAATAAAAGAATTTAAAGAGTTGAGCTTAAATTCTAGAATTTCAGATTTAAGAGATTGAGATTAAAGTAGAAAGGTTTTTAAGGACTATGTCTAGAGCATTTTATAGATTTATTTTTTGTTTAATTTCTTTGAATGTATTTATACATTGAGTTTATATATCATAAATGTTTATATATCATAAATGTAATTATTTACCTTTTTAAGGTTCCTTTGGGAGCAGTGGGGCCATGGTCTGTGTGTTTCTCACATATAGGCCTAACCCTAATCTTGCTGAATGAAAACCATCAGTCTGTGTTAACAATCTAGCAGATTTATCTACTACAGTATGATACTGTATACTGAAATAAAAGCATACATATCTGGTGATTTTTAAAAAGTTTGTTGGATGTTCTACTTATTTTTTCACTCAGTTGTACCTCAGGGAAGTACTCTTCAGGATCATCTGATAAAATACTAAATCAGTCTTTGTAATGATTATGTAGTTAGATGCAGGATAGTAATACCATAATTTATTGATTTCTGTATCAGTGATACTTGTTTCCATTATTTTCCCACTACAAACATGTCTATAGTAGCACCCGATTATATATATGTGTGTGTCTTTATCTAGTGGGAATTTTTAAAAAATTATTCTCAAGAAAGAATATGATTGCTGGATCAAAGGGCATATGCCTCTTTTAATTATACAGGACAGAGTCCCAGCTGTGGGATTGCTGGATCAAAGGGATATATTTTTAAATTTAATAGATACTGCCAAAATATTTTCCAAAAAGACTATAGTATATTACATTTCTACCAACTGCATATAAGAGTACCTAAACGTCTATAGGTTCAAGTTTTTGGTCTTTGAGGGGCTGGTGGCTATAGACTATTATGCATTGTTATTTTAATTTGTATTTTCTGACTAGTGAATTTAAACATCCTTTTCATAAATTTATTGAACATCAAGATTTACTTTTTTGTGAAATGTGTATTCCTGAATGTTGCTTGGGTTGTTTGTCTTTTTCTAATAAATTTGTAATGCATTTTGTAGATTACAGGATTAATTCTTCTCTCTCTACTCTATTACTTGTCTGTTGCCTTTATAATAATTTGTCATTCATTCATTTAAATTTTATATGTATTCAAATACATGTTCTGTAACCTTTGGGTTTATATCTTGGTTTGTAAGTCTCCACCTATATATTTTATATTTGTATATATCTTCATAAAACCTTTTCCTTTTCTAAAAAAAAGCATTGTTAGAGGATGTTTGCACCCACTAGAGGAAAAGGGAGAGAAGGAGAGAATGCACACCCCTCATGGAGATGGTCATGCCACAACCCCTTTTTTTCCATTTCACCTTTTGGGGTTTGGGGCACACATGCACATGTGCATGGCATATTTTTCAAGCTGCTGGATCTGGGACTCAGACTTTAGTAAACCATGTAAAATTCAGCCACCTTCATCTTACCACTGGCTGATGCCATAAAAGCTTTTTTTTTTGGAGAGTTTTTTTTTCGCTATAGGGCGCGTGCACTCGCTCGCCAGACAGACAGAGACATAGGGACAGAAAGCGAGAAATCACCCCCCAGAGGGGATGGTCACGCCACAATCCCTTCTCCTCCATTCTCCTCTCGGGATCTCGTGCATGCACACACCCACACCCGGCATGAGTTTCAAGCCACCAGGTCCGGGATGTGAACCGCGGTCGACTGCGTGGGAGTCCAGCGACATAGCCATTACACTAACTGCTGGTTCCCAGCCATTAAAGCTTTTTAAATACTGCTTTTTTAAAAAAAGTAAGTATGGCATTAATTGTAGAGTTTTCATCCATTGTCTTTATTAGATTGAAGATACTTTCTTTTATTACTATTTCACTGAAAGTGTTTTAAAAATCATGGTTGAGTGTTAAGTGTTGCCAGGTACTTTTTCTCTATCTGTGGAGATAAATCATGAGGATATCTGCCTTCATTCTGTTTGTATGGTAAATTACTTAATAACATTTTCAAATGTTACATCAACCTTGAATTCCTTGGTATTTTTTTGTCACAATGTATTATCCTTTTAATATTTTACTCTATTTGTTTCCTAGTTCTCTGAAACTATGTTCATGATGGATATTGGTAGAAGGTTTTTTTTTTTGGTAATACCTTTGTACAGTATTGCTGAGTTGTCTGTTTTTATAACATGAACTGGGACATATTCTCTCTCAGTACTTTGAAATAATTGTGTAATACTAGTGCTGCTTCTTCCTTAAATGTATGATAGTCACCTGTGCAACTATCTGGGCCAGAAGTTTTCTTTGTGGAAAGGTTTCTAATAATCCGATCTTTCCAATGAATATATGTAGAGAGAACTATTCAAATTTTATTTTCATTTTGTGTCAGTTTTAGTTAATTATCTTTTTTTTTTTTTAAGTTTATTTCTTTTGTGAGAGAAAGAAAGAGGCATTCCCAACAGAGTCTTTACATTGTTAGCCACTGCCAGCCTTGGCCAGTCCGGATGATGGGCATCCACTCAGTGTGAATAGCAAGGAACCAGGATGAGAACTGATGACCTTTTGTTGGTATAGTTGCTATTACTGCTGCATCACCATTTGGCCTCAGCTGATTGTATTTTGAAGTTTTAAAATTTTATCTAAATTATCAAACTCGGTGTAAAGTTTATGTTTCTTATGCCTTTTATTTTTCTAGATTCAGTAATAATAATCCCTCTTTCATTCCTGATACTGGTGATAGGTGTTTTCTCTCTCTTTTTATTAGCCCAAGTACTCATTTATCAATTCTGCTAATCTTTTTAAAGAAGAATTTTTTGTTTCTCTTGTTTTCACTATTGTCTTTTTCATATCATTGATGTCTCCTTTATTTTTATTGTTTTTCATTTTTTTAAATTTGGAATCACTTTGTTCTTTTTCTAGCTTCTTACATTGAAACCATAGATCATTGATTTTTAGAACTTTCTTTTTTCCTAGAAGCTACTTTTTTTGTTAGTTTAAAAAATAAAGTTATATATTTCTCTCTAAGGATTGCTTTAGTTACATCCCATGAAATTTTAATTTTTTTTAATCATTCACCTCAAAATATTTTAAAATTTCCCTTAGAATTTATTCTTTGATACATATTTATAATTGTGTTGTTCAGTTGCCAAATTTTAGGAGGTTTCTTAGATATGTTATTGTCTTAATTTCTAATTGAATTTCATTGTGATAAGAAAAATATAATTTGAATTTTAAAAAAATGTATTGAAAGTTGTTTATGGGTCAGCATATAGTGTTTGTAACTACACTGGAGAAGTAGGTGGACTTTTTGAGGTGTAGTGTTCTATGCATGCCAGTTAGATTAAGGTGGTCGATGATGTTTTTCAGGTCCTCTGTGACCTTCCTAGCTTTTTTTTCATTTATTTGTTTTTGGTGTACTTGTTTTATAAATTGATGAGATGAGGTGTTAAAATATCCTGAGTATGACTGTGGAATTGTCTATTTCTCTTTGTTTCTTTCATTTCTATAATTTTTTTGCTTTATGTATTTTTAATTCTTTCTAAAGATTTTACCCTTTTATCATTTTTATGTATACCTGTTCATTTCTGGTAATATTTTTGGCTTCCAGTTTGTTTTGTTAGATATTGATGTAACTATTCCATTCTTCTTATATTTACTCTTCTTGTGGTTTAACTTTGTTTTTTTTTAACCTATTTTCATTCTCACTGTATTGTTTTAACTTTGATACTGTTTGAAAAAGAATTATTTAATTTCATTTATTTATTATTATCATTCAATTTGACCAGAGAAAGAGAGAGAAAGAGAGAGAGAAGGCAAGT